GGGGGGGGGGGGGTGCGGTCGCGGTGCAAAGAGCCGCGGCATATAATGAGATAGCTATATACTGTATATATACAGTGCATTCAGAAAGTATTCAGACCCCCTTCACTTTTTTCAATTTTCTTATGTTGCAGCCTGATACTAGTTGTTTAAAATGTTTTTATTCTCATTCATCTACACTCAGTACCCCATAATGACACAGTGAAAACAGAATTTTAGAAATGTCTGTGAATTTATTCAAAAGAATAAAACTAAATATCACATGTACTTCAGTATTCACACCCTTTACTCAGTACTTGGTTGAAGCTCCTTTGGCAGCAATTACACCCTCGGGTCTTTTTGGGTATGATGCAACAAGCTTTGCACACCTGGATTGGGGGATTTTCTGCCATTTTTCTTTGGTCAGTCGGCTTGGATGGGGACCGTCGGTGGACAGCCATTTTCAGGTCTATCCAGAGATGTTCTATATTGTTCACGCCAGGGCTCTGGCTGGGCCACGCTAGGACATTCACAGAGTTGTCCCTAAGCCACTCCTGTGTTGTCTTGGCTGTGCGCTTAGGATCGTTGTCATGTTGGAAGGTGAACCTTCGGCTCAGTCCGAGGCCCTGAGTGCTGCGGAACAGGTTTTCATTGAGGATATCTCTGTACTTTGCTCCATTAAGCATTCCCTCCACCCTGACCAGTCTCCCAGTCCCTGCTGCTGAAAAACACCCCCTCAGCATGATGCTGCCACCACTATGCTTCACTGTTGGTACTGGGCAGGTGATAAGCGGTACCTGATTTCCTCCAGACATAACGTTTAGAATTGAGGCCAGACAGCTCAATCTTGGTTTCATCAGACCTGAGAATCTTGTTCCTCACAGTCTGAGAGTCCTTCAGGTGCCTTTTGGCAAACTCCAAGCAGGCTTTCAAGTGTTTTGCACGAATGAGAGGCTTCCGTCTAGCCACTCTGCCATAAAGGCCAGATCGGTGGAGGGCTGCAGTGATGGTTGTCCTTCCGGAACTTTGTCCCATCTCCACACAGGACCTCTGGAGCTCAGTTAGAATGACCATTGGGTTCTTGGTCACCTCTACTACTTAGGCCTTTCCCCCCACCCCCATTGCTCAGATTGGATGGGTGACCAGCTCTTGGAGGAGTCCTGGTTGTGCCAGACGTCTTCCATTTGAGAATTATGGCAGCCACTGTGCTCTTGGGAACATTCAGTGCAGCAGACATTTTTTTGTAGCCCTCCCCAGATCTGTGCCTTGCAGTAATCCCATCTCTGAGCTCTGCAGGCAGTTCCTTTTGACCTCATGGCTTTTGCTCTGATACAGTATGCATTGTCTGCTGTGAGGCCTTCTATAGAGGAGGTGTGCGTGTTCCCAAATCATGCCCAATCAATGTCATGTACCACAGGAGGACTCCAAATCAAGGTGTAGAAACATGCCAGCAACCATCAAGAGAAATGGGAGGCACCTGAGCTTAACTTTAAGTGTTGTTGCAATACTTATGCCAAAGTGATATTTCAGTTTTTCCTTTTTAATAAATTTGCAGACATTTCTAAAATTCTGTTGTCACTTTGTCAATATGTGGCAGCGAGTGTAGATTTTTCTTTCTCGTTAAATAATTTAAATCAATAGTATCAGGCTTCAACATAACATTGAAAAAAGTGAAGGGGGTCTGAATACTTTCTGAATGCGCTGTGTGTATGCTTGTATTAAAAAAATGTATCAAATGATTTATAAATGAATACAGAGGTGCATTAATTTGTCTTATTATCTGGCTGGGGTTCAGTTTTAATTGTAAGCCACCCTCTAACCATGCATGTGCAGAGAAGGCCCAACTCCAACCCAAATCTTATTTCCTATAGGTTTGGATAAAGAGGGGAGTGTTCATGTTTCTCTCAAGTTTTTATATTGGTCTGTGACCCCACTGGGGAGTCCTGTCTCTGACAGCAGGACAGGAAATGGGGGGGGGAGCCGTTGTCACAGTTGGACAGGAAGGCATAGGCAGCAATAAAAACCATAGTCACTAGTTCGAACCCTTCACTGCCATGTGTTTTTGTCTGTGATCCCATTGTAGAGATTTCCTGTCACTTCCTGTTCTGCCCAATGGTTGATCAAAGGCCTTTTTTAGCAGCCAGGAAACTAGCATTTAATGATCTAGTGCAGGGGTAGGCAACCTCAGTCCTCCATCTATGCTGAAACTACAATTTCCATCACGCATCTGCCTCCGACAGTCACACCTGGCTGCCAGAGTCATGCAATGCCTCATGGGATTTGTAGTTGAATTACAGCTGGGGGGCCGGAGTTTGCCTACCCCTGCACTAGACCAAGGCCAGGCAACCTCAGTACTCCAGCTGTTGTAATGCCTCATAGGACTTGAAGTTCCACAAGACTGACAGCCACACGCATGACTCCCAGGAGTCAGATGCATGATGGGATTTGTAATTTCAACACAGCTGGAGTGCCGAGGTTCCAACCTATGGTCTGCATTGATGCTAAATGTGAAATGCAGGCAGGGCCAAAAACACAATGAGCCGAGTCATGAAACTGAACATATAATAAAAAATGTGGACAGCACACAGCATTGTGGTTCATTTATCTGCTTTATTGAGATATACCTAGCAGTGACATAAATACCATGACTCAGAGCCGAGGACAGGGACAGTAGATGGACACAGCACAAAGATGTGAGCACGCACTCACTCA